TCCCACATTGCTATTCAGAAGCGGCTGTTCAGTGAGCAGGGGTGTGTCCAGGTGGGAAAGTACATTCCCAAAACAGGTGTCATCACCATGGGCTCACCCGGGGGCCACGAGGGAGCCAGCCCGGAGAGGAGCGGAGGTGTGAGGGCTAGGAAGGGCCTCGAGCGCCATGTCCTGGCCGGGAGGCTTTGAAGGAGATTGTTGACAGCACGAAGACAGTCATGCTTGCCCTGTAGAAAGTTCCTGTGCAGCTGGGGCAGGATGGAAACTCAAGCTGAGCAGGTCAGGTTAAGAATCCGACTCTGCCGGCCCGTCCTGAGCACCTGCCCCGTCTCAGCAGCTCCCGTGGCTGTGGGGTAAGCTGTCTGCCCCCCAGTCTCCATGCCAGGCCAGCGCTGGGCCCTGGAGAGGTGGGACTGAAGCCCCCAGTGGATCTGAGGAGCTGGGAGATGTCACCCCATGGCTGGGACAGGGCAAGGTGGGCAGTTGGGGGCCGTGGAGAGAAGCATTTGTTAACACGGAGCGGGGAGAGAGTCCCAAGGCAGGGACGGAGTAGAGGGCTGTACGGGCTCAGAACTGGGCAAGCCAGAACTTGAGAAGGGAGAGCCTTCAGAGTGTGCCCTCCCCGTGGGCACCAAGCACTCCATGCCCGACCAAGTCCCTATTCTCAGCGAGTTTCCCACCTCGCCGGCTCTCCTCCCTTGTCAAGGGGACAGCCATGCCTGCCCTGCCAGGTGCCCTGATGCTCTGAGCAGGCGCTCCTGCGTGTTCTGGAAGTGCAGCCCAGCGTGGCGACCATTCAGGCCCTGCCCTAGCGTGAACCCCCTCCATCCCCAGCTCTATGTCTTGACATTCCTGTCTGTTGCATGGGCACCACAGCACACCACCTCTCCTGGGCTTGTCCTGGGGACGTTGAGAGAACACGAACCTGCCACATGCACAGCAGAGCAGGGCGCGCCCTGGCAGCTCCCGGGCAGTGCGGCTGTGTGGTGGTCACCCATACCCACAGCCCAGGCCCCGCAGCCCTTCCCGTCTGTCTTGTCCCTCACAGGGCCTTTCTGAAGGCTCCTTTGGTCCCCTCGGAAGTTCACGGGAGCTATGTTTGTGTTTGTTTTCCCTGCGTGGCCTGGCCAGCCAGCCGAGCCTGGGTTAGGGAGGGCAGCCGCCTCCGGCTCCACCTCCCGCCTTCGGCCCAGTTCCCTATTGATGAGGTGAAAGGAGGTGGGGGAAGGAGCAACAAGGTCATTGTTCTTTTTGCCCTGCTCTGCCGTTCCGGCTGCTGGTCCTCCCCTGGTGCTTAGGGGACAGGGGCATGAAAAGTGGATTATTGATGCAGTCACCATAGCAACGACCCTGGGAGGCACACACTCGGCTTTGTCATCCAGGTCCCGGGGGCAGACCAGGGTTGGGGGCGCAGGGCTGTGAACGCCTGGGAACTCTGCTCAGAGTGGGATGTACACAGGCCTGCTGGGGCTCTGTGCTCCTTGCACTGGCGTGAGAGAGTGTCCACAAGTGACAGCCTGTGTGGATGGGCTCTGGTGGTAAGGAGGGGCACTGTGGGTCCTGCCGGAAGGTCCAGAGAACGCCAAGGCCTGGGGGCGGGCAGGGCCACTCCACCCTGCCTCTGACCAGGTGTGGCCAGGTCTCCTCCCAGCATATCCTGTGCTTGGGTATGGCACAGGCCATGGCCACTCCCCAGGCTTGCTGCGAAGGCACAGTCAGGACCCTGGGCCACATGTCCACAGGACCTGAGAAGCGCCCAGTCCTGCCTTCCTGCCCGTGCCCCTCATCCCCCTCACCAGCTCCCTCCGCCCTCCACTTGTTCTGCCACTGAGATCCTCTGCTGCAGGTGTGTCCCTCCACCACTGATGCCCTGCCATGGTGCCCACCTGCACTGGTGTGACCCCTGAGGCTCAGGGTGAAGGGAGCTTCCAAGGTCACATAGCACATGGCAGTTTTTGAGTGCAGCCCTGGTAATGTGGCAGCAAAACATCAGTGCCTCATGTGCCCTGGACCATCCTGGGCTGCCTCGGCGGCACCATGTCCACATTCACAGAACGTAATTCGGTTAGGATGGGATACATCAAATTAGCTTCGACCTGGCGGAGGGCCCGCCAGCCCGACAGGCACCAGGGTTTCTGGGAAGGAGTCTGTTTCAGCTCACTTCCCCCTCACAAAGAGAGGGTGAGCGAGGCTTTCCGGCCAACGCCTCCCTCTGCGCTTCTGCCCGCATCTCAGGCAAGGCAAGTGCCGTGGGCCCGGGGCAGGGGTGGTGCTGGGCCCTCGGCCCCTCGGTCCTGAGGCTCTCAGAGACCTGCTCAGTGCCAACCCTGGGCTGGACCTCCAGCCCCTGCTCCTATAGCAGACGCACGCTGGCCTCAGTGAGTCCTCGAGTGTAGCCCGGTGGGAGAGCCAAGACCAGCATCCCTGCATGTGACTTGGGGCCCCCAGCCCCCACCTCAGAGCTCCCAGGGGTCCCAGGGTTGCCCTGGATTGGGGGCGGAGGGCAGAGGGACTGAGTGGTCAGTACCCAGAAGCCACAGGTAACCTCCAGACTGGCGGTCCCCTCCACAGAAAGCAGGTGCCTCAGGAAGTCACCGTAGTCCAGAAGCCAGCCTTACACGCCAGGTGAGCTGGGCTCCCTCCGGCCTGGCTGTGGCAGATCTGCGAGGCTGCCCTCATGGGACCACCTCCCCTTGTTTTGAAAAGCAGTTTTTCACAAAAATGAATTCTTTATGTTCACCTGGTAGTTATTTTTGAGTAAGTTCCGAAGTCCACATTTCCTTCCTGCTTTCTGGTGTAGTAGGCACCATCGGCTGTGACGGTGAAGTCCGCCTCTTTCACAGTGCAGCGTGGGCAGAGCTCCTGAGGGCAGCCCGCTGAAGACCCCCAGGGCAGGAGGCAGGGGGCCTGGGAGACTGTCTGGGGTCTTCAGGTGACAGCTGGAGGCCCAGCCCCTCCCCTTGCCCCCGTAGTTACCAAGAGGACTCACCCCGGGGCCTGTGAGCCTGGCTCCTGCAGGTAGGGCCCCGTTGCCAGCCAGCTGGGGCTGTGCCACCGTGGCCCATTACTGAAGTCCATTTTGCTTGACTTTAGTCTACTGCTGGGGGGGAAGGGGGTGGGCGGGGTGGACACATCATGGTTTCTAAAGTGTCATTCTCCAGTTCTGGGTTCAGGGACCTGTTGGTTCTCCTAGTGACAAATTTATGGCTGGCGATGATGAGCGGGGCTATTCATAAATTGTGCTGTGTTGGCTGGGAAGAGGAAATTTGATCTCCCTTTCTCCATCATATCAGTCTGAGCTACACAGGCGCCCCAGCTCATCCCAGCCCAGGAAGGAGACACAGCTGCTCACAGTATCAGGCCTCTCACCCCAGCCGTGGGACAGGCCTGGAAAAGCAACACGGTCACTGGGGGAGTCATGGGGAGCAGAACCCAGGAGTCCAGATGCTCTGGAGCACTGAGGGGATGGAGAGAGGCCGCTAGCTTCACCTAGGGGAGGCAGGATGAGGGCGGGAGGGTGAGCAGAGTGTGGAGTGTGGGGTAGGAGAAGGAAGCCCCGGCTGGGCTGGAGGGCCAAAGCAAATGCTCAAGCAGGGCGCCCGGGATGAGCCCGGGCCCCAAGTCCACCACTCAGCCTCTGCCCGGCTCCCTCATGCACGCAGAGCAAGGCGCCTACCCTCACCCAGCGGAGACATCCACACAGAGCAAGGCGCCTGTGGAAACCAGGCCTGACACATTCCTGTCTGTAACCTCGTTTAATCTGTGCAGCGACTCCAAGAGCCAGAGCTTGTCGAGCAGGGCACTCCGGAGGGCAGGTCCTGCTGCCCGGCTTCACCGTGACTTGTGAGAACCCATGAACCCACCACATGCACACTTGTCCCCTAGCCCGCCTTCAGTAACACCTCGCCAGCAGCCCCAAGTGGGCCAGCTTGGGATAGTCACAGCAGAGAACTCAACAGATGCTGCAGACCAACCCCCACCAGCCCCTGGGCAATTCACGCCTCTGTCTGGGAATTAAGTGGGTGGGTCCTGTGTGCGTGGACTTGCAGTGGCCTGGAGGACTCTGCCAGTTAAGGTGTTTGCTTTTGCTGCAACCCCCTCCCCGACCCCCTTCACTGGTAACAGTGTCAATCTAACTGTGATTTGTGCAAATGAGAAGATCCACCTCCAGCTGTAATGACGGCAGGGACCTCGGGCGAATTAGGAGTTAGGGTGCTGGGCCAAGCGTGGCCCTCATTCTTTTTTTTGTTTTGTTTTGTTTTACCTCCAGGAGATTTTTGCCTTTATTTTAGCTGCTGAGGTGTTTTTTTAGATGCTTGCATATTCTAACTTTCCACACACCCGTGTTAAAAGTGGACAAGGTCAAGACCGACCCCTCGCCTGGAAGGAGAGGCCAGCGTGTCCCCTGGGAAGAGAAGATCACCTGTGTTCCCACTTCCTCCCCCCAAAGCCAGCTCCACTCCCCTCCGAGCTCAGGGCAGACAGAGATGACCGCTGCGTCCCAGGGCCCATGTTTTGGCCCCACAGCAGCTCTTCCCTTCAGTTGCCTTTGACCTCTTGCTGGACTGGTGACCACGTGGCTCTCACCCTCATAAATTCTGGAAACTGCTCACCACTCCCCAGTAAGCTAAACAGCAGCCGGGGCCTGAACACACAGTGAGCAGAAAGGAAAGGCAGGCTGTGTCCACTGGGTGCGGGGTACAGAGGAGGGGGTCGTGCTGACCAGGCCCGCCCTGCCCGCTGGCCAAGAGCCCCCCTCCGTGGTCCTGGGCTGTCGTTGGCAGTGGGGCCCCAGAACGCTGGACCCAGGCCCAGTGACTTGCCCTCCTCCTGAGTGAGACCCAGGTGGACGTGTGTGTGTGCGTGTGCACAGCTTGGTAAACTGAGAGCAAACCGTCTGATGGTTCAGAGCCTGTCGCTTTGCAGCCTAAATGTTCTCTCTCCCTCCCTCTCTCTCCTCTCCCTCCCTGGTCCCCAACCCCGCTCTTGTCTCTTCCCAGAGGGTATGAACTGCATGAACAAAGAGCATGGCTGTGCCCACATCTGCCGGGAGACACCCAAAGGCGGGGTAGCCTGTGACTGCAGGCCCGGCTTTGACCTTGCCCCAAACCAGAAGGACTGCACACGTAGGTAGCTGGAGGCAAATGGGCCTGACACCCCCACGCGTCTCCTGTCATTGCTGTGGGAGAGGGGGGGGTCCGTCCAGCCCACCGACAGTGTCCAGGGAGGGTTCTTAATCCCATGGGCTGGAAAGAAGGGCAGGACCCCCTAAGGGGGCCCAGGGACAGGGTCTTGAGGTCTCCTTCACCTGGCACGACCTCAGGAGCCAGGCCAGGTCTTGCAGGGGTGGAAGGGCTGGACACAGAGCTCAAAGGTCCAGGTTTGCTGACGGGCGGTCAAGAGTATGAAAAAGGGATAGGTGAAGAATCAAAGGGGGGGAGGTGAGACGAGCTGCGAAGGGGCTGACGCTCTGTGCTGAGCTGGTGGCAAAGCCAGGATAAAGGACCAAAGCTGGCCGCTGGGTAACACCCCAGGGGCAGTGGGGCTGAAGGTGGACCCTGGCCAGAGGACCTGCGTGGACCTGCAGCCTCACAGCACAACCTCCAGCTACCCTGAAAGAGTGGGAATGGAAACAGAAGGACAATGGCTGAACCACTCAGCCGCTGCGTGGGAGCTGTGGCCTCCACGGGGTGCCCAGAGCCACTTAGCCACATTGCATCTATCCCTTGTCTGTTGGGAGTTACGGGAGACTGTGCCGTGCTGAGTCGACTCTCTGATGGAGAGACATAGATGGAGGGTTTCCAACCCAACTCTTCATGGAGAGTACCCCTGACCGCAGCTATGGAGAAGGGACGCTGAGGCTGGAGTGGCCGTCCTCGGGCCTGAGACAGCCGGCCCCGTGACCTCGTCCTGTGGCACAGGGGCTCCCGCCAGCCCTCACAGCCTCCTGCCGGCCCCCCAGCAGTGCAGACAGTGCCCCCCTCGTCCTGCAACACAGGGGCTCCCACCAGCCCCTGTTGCCTCGTCCCATGGCACAGGGGTTCCTACCAGCCCTCATGGCCTTCCGCTGGCCCCCATGGCCTTGTCCCGTGGCACAGGGGTTCACATGAGCCTACACCAGCCGCTGTCCATGACCCATCCAGTCCCCAGAGGGGGTAGCTGGGTCTGAGGCGTACACCAGCTCTACTCTTGGTTCTGGATCTTTCCTTGGGACAGAGAAGACAAGTGTATGGGCCATCAGCAAGGGCACGACCAATGGGGTTCGGCACCAGCCAGGACCCATACAGCACCCCCGCACACACACCACTTCTCCATCTCAAGATTCCTCTAGCTGCAGACGCTTGCCCTGGATCTCCTCGTGGGACAGACCATCAGCGGAGCAGTGGGGGACTGCCAGGTAGAAGGCAGGTGGGTTGCTCGAGTCAGAGGTCAGGCGGATGTACGTTCGGAGCCAGGCAGCAGCTTGCCGCTGGGAGTACTGTCGGCCAGCATGACAGGAACCAGTTTGCTACCCAAGTGTGTGACCCACCTGGAACAGTTTGCTCAGGACCCTCTCCTAAGGAACTGGCCTGGTCTGAGAAGACAGGGCTACGTGAGTGACAGGGATACCCCAGCCAGCCCCCAGCTTGAAGACAGCCGAAGCCCTGCTCTGACGCTTGCTGAGTGGCTGCCCATTGCCAGGGTGTAGAACACCTGGCTAATTGGCAGGGTCACAGAGTGCATGTCAGCCACGGAACCAGGCCAGTACTCGGTTAGGGCTCAGGTGTCCCCTGCTGTGTCAGCTGGGCCAGAACCAGGGTTCCTCGCCTCTTTGGACCAGTGGTCACACCAGCTCTCTCCCCGCTGCAGCACCAGAAGGGTCTTGCCCGTCCTTGCCTCCCAGAGCCCAAGGCTCCAGTGTTCCCCTGTACACGGGGGTTTCGGAGGATTCATGGGAATGCAAGGTAAACTTACGTTGGGTCAAAATCTTTGAAATCCATGTGCAGTTTCTTCCTAATATATATTTCTGATGAATTTGTAGAAGCCCCCTGTACCAGCTGAAGGCTTTCCAGATGCTGGGAGGCTGGCCCTTGGGGGTCCCCATGGAACAAGACACAGCCATACCCAGAGGCAGACAGATGCTCCCAGGGCCCAGGGCTGCCCTGGCTGTCCCCTGGCCGGAGTGTGTACACTCTTCCCCTGAGAAGAGACCACCAGAGGGGGGTGGGCTCCACCAGGAGTATGAAGAGAGTGCACGCCAAGGCAGGACCAGCCCCGGCTGCACTGCTGGAAGTGGCGTGCAGAGACTCCCAGGGAAACAGGAGTCAGTCCAGAGGCACCCCGGACACCAGGGTCTGAGCTGACCCACGTCTGCCTCGAGCCTGTCTATAACTGCCGCACCTGCTGTGGAAATCACCTGGGACCAGCCGCACAGGACCATCCGTCATCATTGAGAACGGATGTGGCCAGAATCCTCGGTCAGCCGTCACTGAGGAGTGCCGAAGACACGCAGCGACCAGAGTCAGCTCTGAGAGGGCAAAGCTCTGTCCTGGGGATCATTACCCAGCACTCCCCATGGGATCCCGGCACTCCTGTGGGCCAGCCAGTGCTCCCTGTGAGCCAATCGGGACTCTCCGTGGAACACCCAGCACCCCCCCTGGGCCAGCCAGCTCCCCATGAGACACCTGGCAGCCCCGTGAGCCAGCCAGATTCCCGTGGGACACCCAGTGCTCCCTGTGGGCCAACCAACTCCCCATGGGACACCCTGCACTCCCTGTGGGACAGCCTAAGAGAACATTGCTGATTTGGACTCCTAGAGCTCCGCGGCCCTTTGCACCACAGTCCGAGATTGACTCACGTAATTGATCATCGCCTGGGTTTTGCTAAGTAAATGAAGAGTGGAGGGATTCTGTGCAGATGGCCCAGGCATCCAAGAGGACGCCCTGCACTGTCCCCAGGGCCCAGAATGCCACATGAAGCTGCCTCACCAGCCTCATGAAGCAAGGGTTCTCTGACAACCCCAACGACCCTGCAACACACAGACCAATTGTTGGTCACCTTGTGCTGCAGCCACGAAACTCGCCCTGGAGGTGACGATGCGCTTTCCTGCCAAGGTCAGCCCACATGCTACCTAGACTGGCTGCCTTGTGTTCAGCCGCCTTGTCAGCCAACCTACACTGCACTTCTGCCATGCAGGATGTAGTGGGTAAAGCCGCCGCTTGCAACACCAGCCTCCTATATTGGCACAAGTTTGTACCAGCATGCCCCACTTCCCGCCCAGCTCCCTTCTAGTGGCCTGGGAGAAGCAACGGAAGATAGTCCAAGTGCTTGGGCTCCTGCCACCCACGTGGGAGACTCAAATGAAGCTTTGGTCTGGCCTGCCCTGGCCATTGTGGCAAATGGAAGACCTCTCTTCCTCTTCCTCTCTCTCTCTCTCTCTCTCTCATTTTGTATCTTTGGCTTTCTGAATAAGTAAATAAATAAATAGCAGAAACCTACTTTGTGTTGCTTCTAAAGCTGCACCTCAAACGGCCTTCATCCATAAGGATCTCTCTGGGAGGGTGGGGACTTTCAGGGTCTGAGATGACCTCAGGCACATCTATGGGGACAGTCTCCCCTACGCCCCAGGACATCACACAGCGCTAAGGAGATGGAGCGTCACTTCGTGCCCCGATTGCCGAGCAGGCCCGGTTTCTGGGGAGCAGCAGGGACAAGTCCCAGCCCAGGGAGGGTGAGACCGTCTGGCTCAACTCATCCACAGTGGCTGCATGCTCCAGCCTCGCGCCAGCTCTGCCCAGAGCCCAGCAGCCCAGTCCACTCTCTGGCCCTTGCCAGTGCATCTGTCAGGGGTGACTGGCTCAGTGCCAGAGCCTGGAGGGGCTCCAGAGCAGGGCACACAGGTGTCAGTGACCTGCAGGCCTTCGTGATCCCTGCTCCCGGATCGTCAGGGCCATGCTTCCCATCCCAACCCCTGCGCAGAAACACCCGGCCCCAGCCAACTAACTGTTTTTGTTGTTGTTCTGTTTATACACACGTGTGTACACTTTGGGCCTAACTAGTAACCTGTAACTATGGGAACGGAGGCTGCCAGCATAGCTGTGAGGACACGGACACGGGCCCCACGTGTGGCTGCCACCAGAAGTACTCCCTGCACTCAGACGGTCGGACGTGCATCGGTGAGTCAGCACCGGCCTCGCCCCTGCCGGCCCCCTGGCCTCCTCCCCAGTTCCTAGAAGGACCCCGAGGGACAGCAAGAAAGGGAGGTCCCAGGGCAGCGGCGGGGGTGGCAGGGGCCCCCCGAGGAGAGCTTCCCAGAAGACTCCCAGAGTCCTGCAGTTGCACGGCCCCGCCTCCTCCCTGCTTTGGGTCCCTGGTGTGGCCTGTGCTGCCCGTGGGCTGGTGGCGGGGAGAGAAGCAGTGTGTTCTCTGGCGGGCGGCGGGGGGATCTCCATAGGCCTGCCCTGTCTCAGGGCACAGCCGCCACCATTACCTGAGCTGCCCAAGTGTCTGGGAACGGTGGTGTGAACCACTGGGGGTTGGATTTTAACCGCTTCCATCCTGAGCTAACAGGGTTCTGTGGGACTTCCTCTCCCACCTGCGTCTGCCCTTCTCAGAGGCACCCCCACCCATTACACAGATTTTTGACTGAAGCTCCGCCCCTCCCACCCCTGGCCCATATTTCCAAGGGGACACAGGAGAGCTGGGGGTTGTCTGAGGCTGCCTTCACTGGGGAGTAGGCTCTCTGCTCCCCCAAGGGGAACAGCACATTTTTAACTGGGGAAAAAAATCAATTGGTATTTCAAGTTTGCACACACAGTTCACCCTCTTCTTTCTGTTTAATGTTGGCAAGTTTTATTGTTTTAAGATTTATTTATTTATTGAGAGGGAAAGAGGGAGAGCGAGAGAGAGAGATTTTCTGTCTGCCATTTCATACCCCAGAAGCCAGAACGGGCAGGGTTGGGCCAGGCTGAAGCCAGGAGCCTAGAACTCAAGCCCAGACTCCCACGTGGGTAGCAGGAACCCAGCCACGTGGGCCATCCTTGGCTGCCTCCCTGGCACATTCACAAAAAGCTGGCTAGGAAGCAGAGCGTCTCAGACCAACCAGGCGCGCTGGGTCGGGATGAAAATTCCCAAGGGGCAGCTTAAGCCGCTGTGCCACCACTCCCGCCCCCACCACACATCAGCCACTATGTTTATGTGTTCTTGGACGGGAGTAAGCCCTGTTTCTTCTTGCTGCTCAGGAGATGTTTCTTGGGGGAGCTTGGCAGGGCTGGGAGGGGTCGGTGAGCGAGCCTGCAGAGCCCAGGTCCCGGAAGCCGGGCGGGGGCTGTCGGAGCTCTGGCCACAGGGTGCTGCTGCCTGCCATGGGCCCCCTCCTCTGTGTGGTCTCTTCTCTCAGACAGCCATTTATTATTATTTTTTTTTAATTTCATTGTATCTCATTCCTCCTGCTTCTCTGGTGATGGTCCCTGATTGCCTGTCTTGTCTGATAACGAATGTTCACAAATTTCAGAACCAAAAGCCAAAACCAAATCAACCAATCAGAAACAAAGCCAATCAAAAGCCAAACCCGGTCTCAGACCAGTGTCTCTATTGCAGCCTGATCCCATCTAGAACTCCTGTCCTCCCTCACTGTCCCTCCGCTGTCCTGCTCGGGCTCTCAGGGGCCGCCTTGCCCCCCATTGTCTTGTCCGCTGCAGGTCTCCCTCGGGCCGACAGCTGCCGGGCCGACACCCAGCCTGCGTCTAACACATCTCGTCTGTGTCCACCTCACTCATCCCTTTCCATTTTTTATTTTTATTTATTTATTTATTTATTTTACTGTCCGCTGCATGCAAAGGCCCCCCGCTCAGGTCTGCTTTCTGCAGTAACACCCGAGCTCCTCCACCCCTCCCACTCTGGGTAGAAAGCATCTCCCATCCCTGGCTTCCCCCATAGCTACCTCCACTCGTGGCTGGGGGTGTCAAGCTTCAGCCCGAGTTTGTTCAGGGTTCCTCAGTTCCCCTTGTGGAGCAGAGGACTCCCCCCCCCTTACACACACACACACACACACTCCCCCGCTGAGCAGAGAACTGCTTCCGCCCTCCAGCTGATGTGCCCTCTAGCCCTGGGCCACTCCTGATATGCCTGACCCCTCCTTGCAGCCCCTGCGGACCACCTGACTGTTGAACTCTATTCCTCTCGAGACAAGCAGGCAACCAGCGCTGCCCAAGTCCATCCCGCGGCTCCTCTCTGTGTGTCTAGTGGGCTCTGTCGCCATGTGCCCTTCCACGTGGGTTCTTTATTTTGCATGAGTGTTTGGCACTGCCTTCCCAGCCTTGTAACAGGGCATCTTCCATCCCAGACCTCACGCCCCCAGCCCCTTGTCTTCCACCTTGTGCTGTGCCTGCTCTCCTGCCCAGGCCACAGGCTCTGCACCTGCCTGTGCCTCCGGGGGCACCACGCTGGTGCCATGCACTCTGTGGCCTCATCTGCTCTCATCCAGCCACCTCCTCTGTTTGCACCTGGGCCCCATGTCCCCTCTGTGTCCTGGGTCATCTTGTGGTCACCCCCCTCTTTCCTGCACAGCCCACCACCACCCTTGCTGCCTCTTCGCTTTGCCCTGACTACAACCGCCCTGGAGGTTCTTGGGATCAGCCCCGGCGAGGCCGCCGTGCTGGCCCGGCATGCTGCGTTGGCTGTGTGTGTGCCACGCCGAGAGCTGACTGTCTTGGGCCGTGGGAAGTGGGCTGTCATTAACCACAGGCTCCGTGTTTGTCCCTTACTTGTGTTTTAGAGAAGGATGAGGCTGCAATTGAGCGCTCTCAGTTCAATGCCACGTCAGTAGCTGATGTGGACAAGCGGGTGAAACGGCGGCTACTCATGGGTAACACTTTTCTTCCACTTCCTTTGTCCTCCTTACCCTTTGGTGGGTGTGCGTGTGTGCGGTTGAGTGGGCGTGTGCTCACGGGTGGATGTGAGCAAGGGAGTGTGCCGGCTTGTGAGTGTGGGTGGGTGTGTACTGGTGTGTGAACATGAACACGCGCCTACGGGTGGTGTGTGGCCGTGGCCAGGTGTCTACACTGGCCTGCGCTGAACGTGTCTGCATGCTGGGTGTGCATATGAGTGTGTGCACGTGGGTTTGTGTCTGTATTGCGTCAGAGTGGAGGGGCTCGCTCCAGATCAGAACTCACTTTTTCCTTTGTCAAGTTTTGACCCTCCATCAAATACGCGTTTTTCTTTGGGTGCCTGCAGCAAAGACTGCAGAGCCCAAGCCTGATGCCTGTGTGCGTTAGGAGACGTTTGACACAAGCCCTCTTACTTACGCTAGATACCCCCTTACGCAGCAGGCCCCAGCAGGCGGTGCACCTCTGGTTTTCAAGGGGACATCGTTTTCAGACGCTGCTCACATTGTCCGGGGAGGCCTGCTGGCAAGGCTGGCCCTGACCCGAGAGGACGCACCAGAGCAGCAGGTCTGCCTCCTCTTCATCCAGACCTCTGCCTGCCAGGCGCCCCACAGTTCCTGGGGGCTGGCCTCTGGGGCTAGCCCCCAGTGCCTTCCAGGCAGAACTGTGGTCACCTGGACTTGTCTGCCGGCTCCCAGCAGCCTTGGCAGCCTCAGGGCCAGCTGGGCACACAGAAGGCAGCAGGAGCCCACACTGAGCCCCCTCCCGGTGGGCTCTCGGGGCAGGTGTGACCCAGGCAGTGTGCTTTGGAAGAGCTGGCAATGGCAGAGGGAGTGGAGTTGGGGGTTGCTACAGGCTGGGCCCCAGCAAGCAGGTGCAGCCTTGTCCCCCTGGAGGTCCTAGTCAGTGAGAGGGGCAGATGGGTGGGGCCAAAGGAGGTCACACTCAGCCCTCAGCTTCACATGCTATGAGATGTGGGCACTGCTGAGGCTGGAGCCCCAAAACAGCTGGGACCTGGAGCTGGCCCCGCATCCCCAGCTCTGCCCATTGCAGTCAGTGGGGAACAGCCCTGAGCCAGACCTTGGAGCTGGGCAGGGGAGGGAAGGAGGCCAGTGTCAGGAATCAGGGCTGACCCAGGCAGGCTTGGAGAAGCAGGCATCTGTGCCAGGCATCAGATGAGCAAACCACCACTGAACGGCCTTTCTCACATTCCTACTGCCTGTGCCCTCAGAGCTGGTCCTGCCCGCAGCAGAAGGGCCTCCTCTGCTGTCCCTGCAGCACCTAGCATGGTGGGCAAGGTCGCCATCCAAGGGAGGCAGTCCCCCCACCCACAAGCCAGGTCCTCAGCCTTAGAAGCCTCCCTAAAAGGCCACGTACAGTTGAGCCCTATGCTTGAGTTCCCAATGCCTAGCACCTGTCTCCTCCAGGAGCTGTCTACATGGTTGAACTTGGGGTTGAACTTCAAGCCCTAACTGGTAGCCACTCCCAACCCTCAGCTCCTCCTAGGTTCCATTAACAGAAATAAGATACGGAGGTTGCCATTCCCCAGCCTGCCCCTGTGGATCAGGGGCAGTTAGGGCCCAGCTGGCCCCCAGGGAAAGAGCAACCTAGCTGATGAGGCAGGAAAGGGCAGGCGGAGGGCTCCGGGAGACCCATCGCCAACCCATGGGTACATGCCCAGCCTCTTCACTCTCCATGGTTCCCGCTCCTGGGGAGCAGACATGAGCTGCAGCTTCAGGGTAAGCGCCCTCTCCCCATAGGGCATCCCGTGGCGTCTGGACAGAGGAGCCACCATGGTTCTGAGAGAGGAGGTGGCCCAGGAGCCCAGCTCCTCACTGCCGCCATCCTGCTCAGAGACAAAGGTGGATCTCATGCACTCCTCATAATAGTTTGCTCCAAATCTTTTTTTCAATCTTCATTTTTTAAAGGTTTATTTATTTTTATTGGAAAGGCAGATATATAGAGAGGAGGAGAGAAAGAGGAAGATCTTCCGTCCAATGGTTCACTCCCCAGGAGGCCGCAACAGTTGGAGCTGAGCCAATCCAGGAGCCAGGAGCCTCTTCTGGGTCTCCCACATGAGTACAGGGTCCCAAGGCTTTGGGCTGTCCTCGACTGCTTTCCCAGGCCACAGGCAGGGAGCTGGATGGGAAGCGGGGCTGCCGGGATTAGAACCTGCGCCCATATGGGATCCCAGTGCATTCAAGGCGAGGACTTTAACCGCTACACTATTGCCCCAGGCCCTGCTCCGAATGTTTTAAGAGAGAATTTTGTGTCTGGCAATCCCACACGCGTCTGTAAGTCCCTGCATTACAGCCTGTCTTGCTGACACAGCTCGGGGCCAAGATCATAAATTGAGGCACTTAGGCCATGCTTGATCCTCTGTGTTCCTTGTGCGGAACCTGCCTGCCCTATTCTCCCAGGCCCTAACTTCCCGGCTCCAGGTTTCCAAACGTGGAAGCCAGCAGGTGCACAAACACTGCCTTGGCCAAACCCCTCAGCTCCCTGGCAGGAAGGCACTGGCAGCCCAGAACTGCCAGCCACACCAGACCCTGGGAAGCCCCACAGTGCTGGAACCCCCAGGGGGGTCTTCACCCCAGCGGGAGGACACTCCTGCATGGCAGCCAGCAGTTGCTGTGGGGAGCAGTCACCCTAGTCGCTGAAGAACAGAGCAAGTGTTCCCAGAGGCCTCCACGCACAGTGAATCGTAGACTCCTGTAACATGGACTCAGGTGTGGGATTTGAAGATTGAAGTGATAATGTGAACTCTGGCAGGCTTCCTCAGGCCCAGCCCTGCGTGCAGACCACCGGGGCCCGCCCACGGCAGGCTCTGCTCTGGTTGCCTCAAGTCAGACCTGTTGGCTCTGGCCTCTCGATCTGTCCCCTTCTTGAAAGCATAGTCAGGCGTCCCATGGCTGCCGTTAGCAAGTGCCTGGGGCAGGGTGGGCAGTGGCCAACAGGCCGAGCCAGGGGGCCAGCAGCTACCTGCCCCAGGTCTCTGTGGGTAGTTCACCTTAGCTGGCTTACTGGGAGAACCTATTGTTCCCCCTCACCCTTCTGCTCCTGGCGCAGCAGGGCTGCACCCCCAATCCTTCCCTCCTGCTTCTCTCTGTCCTTCCAACCCAGAAGGAAGCCTCACTCCAATGTCAGGTTCTGGTTCTGTGGACTGGGACACAGACATTGAATAGCAGGTGGTCAGGAGTAGGCTGGCAGCAGCCTCCGTAAGGGGGCCACCCCCACCCTCTGTGCCGGCTTGGCACAGGCCCATCCATCTCCCAGCACACAGCAGGGCCCCCCAAACCCTGTTGTCAATGTGGGATGCACCAGACTCCCCTCCTTCCCTGCCCTCCCTCAGGCTGTCTCTGTGCCTCCCGCCCAAGCCCCACCATGCCAGTGCTATGCCCTCATTTGCCAAGTACTTTCTGATTAGTTCTCCCATGAGTGCCCCCTCCTGGGGAGACAGATGTCCCCACGCTGTCAGAACCAAGGCTCTGGGAGGGAAGGCCCCATATGTGGCAGCAGCCAAGGACTGAGCCCTGCCAACCCCCTATCCCCCGGGAGGACCAGAGCAGACCCATGGCAATCCCAGGCTCTGTGCCTTCCCTAATGGTGCCCCGTGGCAAGGCTCACACCTGGAGAGCAGGGGGGTGCAGTTCCAGTCAGGGGAACCCCCAGTCCCAGCCTTCTTGCTTCTCGGGGTCTTGAACCTCATGGCCACTGGGAGCTGGCATGGACATCACGGCACCCAAAGGTTGCCAGGCATTCCTTCCCGGGCCCCCACCTCTGGCTCCTGCCTGCCCCCCCGTGCCCCAGCCTGGTTCTGTCCAGGCTTGTCTGCTTACTTGCAGGGTCTCTAGAGACGTGGAGCTCGGTGGTGGCCCTGGAGGTCAGAGGGCATGGGACAGTGCCCATTCTGAGGCTTGGGCTCTATTGGGGACAGGACCCCTGCCCCTCCCCAAGCCTTACCTGTCCCTCTGCGCCATAAGGACAGCCCTTGTCTAAATGTTCCTCAGGCCTTTTCCAGACAGGCCTCAGGCCAGCTCCAGGTCCATGGGAGCCCAGCATGGGCCGCAGGAGGTGCCCTGCCCACACTGCAGGGGCTACACTGCTCCGGCAAGCCTCACTTCTCTCTGAGCCAGTTTCCCCCTCTGTCCTGCCGGGTCGTGCCAATGTGTACTTCTGGAGTTGTGGGGGTACAAGGAGCTGGCACATAGGGTCTCCAGCATAGTCAGCCACATAGGCAGCCCTCGTTGTGTGTCAGCAGCAGACGCAACTGGGCACAGGGCCTCATGCCGGGAGGGGCGGCGGTAATGGACAACGGAACCCAGCTACAGTCACAGTTTCCCGCTCGGCCATGCCCTGCTGCCCTAGGCCTGTCTCTCCCCCCACCTCCCCACCTGACTGGCCGTCTCTGTCCTGGGCTCCCAGCCCCCAGGGACCCACCATCGCAGCTTTCCCCAAGCACCAGGCTTCCTGCCCACCCAGCACATAAGCTGCTAGAGTCAGAGGAAGTAGGTGAGGTGAGAGAGGAAGGGCAGGCAGGACAGCCCCGGGAAAAGGGCAGAGGGCTAGCACCACCTGCCCGCACTGTGCCCAGCCACCCTCAGGGGTCTCCTGAACATTCCCTCACTTCCTGTTCCTCTTCACCCAGCTGCTGGCCCCACACTGGCTCCTCTGTCCACCCAGGGGCCCCCACCTACACCTCTGCTACTGCACCTGCTGCAGCAGCTGGATCTCCCCTGATTCTGCCAAGCCGTGTTCCAGCCTCCTGCCCTTGACCCATACATCGAGGCACCTGCTGGAGCCTGCTCTCAGCTGCACCCAGCACCTGCAGATAGCCTGGCCCAGGCTGCTTGCATTTGTGCGTCACACCACAATCACTCTCCCCAGTGCTGTCTTGGAGGACTCTGCCTTTCTCAAAAGCCAGCTCTCTCATCCAGGCCTGTCCCCCACTCCCCACCAGCACCCTGACAGGGTAGACACC